CCATGAAAAAAAAAAAAAAGGAATCATGTCCTTTGTAGCCACATGGATGGAGTTGGAGGCCAAAATCCTAAGGGAATTAACACCAGCTCAGGAAACCAAATACTGCCCGTCCTCATTTATGAGTGGGAGTTACACATTGAGCACACATGGATATAAATATGAAAACAATAGACACAGTGGACTACTAGTTGGGAGAGGGAGGACAGGGGCAAGGTTTGAAAAACTATCTTTTAGGTACTGTGCTCACTAGCTGGGTCCAATATACTCAATGAACAATCCTACACATGTACTCGCTGTATCTAAAATAAAAGCTGAAATAGAAAGAAAAAACAAAGGACCTTAATATTTACATAAAAACTAAAAAGAGACACTTTTCTTGGGTAAAAATAGCTTATACTGTTGATGTTAATGAAGTTCATTTTTGATACAAATATTATATATAACTTATGTGTTATGTATTTATGAAAATAATAACCTGTTATTGACTCAAAGCTTTAATCAGAATCTCACATGGGTCACTGGCCCGTAAGAGTTTAATAATTATTTATCTAGATTGATTTCAACTTCCCAACTACTCAACTCCACGACTCCAAAACCCTGATCAGGGTTAAGGGAAAACAAAATCATTTAGGTTACCAAAATGAGCTGTCCCACTTCTAGTAATAGTGAAGTAGCTTGTTGTAGACCAACTCTTTTTTTTTTGTATTTTTTAGTAGAGACGGGGTTTCTTCGTGTTAGCCAGGATGGTCTCGATCTCCTGACCTCGTGATCCACCCGTCTCGGCCTCCCAAAGTGCTAGGATTACAGGCTTGAGCCACCACGCCCGGCCAGACCAACTCTTGCACAAAGAATAAGTAACAGGACAAAGTCAACTTCCCAAACGCTGGGGAGGTATCATGGCACTGAGGGCTTGGGGCACATGAGAGTACAGATGTGACCAGTATGGATCCATGAACAATAAACTGCCACTTTTTGCTCCTTCAATTTATGGATCTACATAATCTCTAGAATCTTGATATAATCCCAGGGACAGAGGATAGTTCCAAGAATGACTTCCAAGGAATTTCTTGTTAGCCAGTGGTAGTACGAACCACCACCAACAAAAAACCTAATACAATGAAAATAATGAGATGCTATATGTCTTGTGTATTTGAGGATATATATACATATATGTGTATATATATTGTTTTAATTTAAAAATAAACTTTACTGTTGAAAATGCAAACTTGGCGAGGGCAGAAAGATCACAGACAAGGCTGCCACTTCACACCTGGAGGGTTGCATGGTGGTGGGTTAAAGGCACTCCTCACTTCCTAGACAGAGTGGCCACTGGGCAGAGGGTCTCCTCACTTCCCAGGTGGTGGGGCAGCCAGGCAGGTATTTGAGGGTATTTTATGCTAATTTGTGTGGACCTCATATCTGAATCTAAACATCTCCTAGGGGCAATGTTTGTCACCAACAATCGATGTAATTGTTTTTATCTCAATTCAGATACAAGAGAATCAAGTTGTGACTGCTTAGTTCAATCATGGACACCCGTTTTCAAAAGAACAACCCAATACTACTTTTAGGAAAAGGATTTGGTTCATAATTTTAATTCACCTCTCACATCTCCTTTAAAAGAGATCAGGCCAAAACAACAATTTTCACTTTATCTCTGTCTACTAGTATAATAGTATATGCTTTTATTTTCGATCTCTACTAGTTCCCATCTTCTCCATTGCTTGTTTTTGCATTACTCCCTGGACAGGCTCAAATAGCTTACGTTTGTCTGGAGCTGTGACTTGAGCCTGCACACAATTCTGCTTTTGCTCTGATTTAGCATTCTTTCTCTTGATTTTGTTTTATATTATATTTTATATTGGTATATCTCTTCCTTTTGCCTTTGCTCCTACCATTTCAGCACTCTTGATTCAAAGGCATGACACTGTAATCTAGAAATTTATACAGGACAAAGAAGTGGAAAGAAGCAAAGAGAATAGAGCTAGGGTTGCTAATGGTCAAGACCAGAATGTGATTAGGGGAGCATAAATAGGAGACAGATGAGAAACAAAGAGGTCTTTAAACTACTTTACTTCCAGATAGCTAAGGAGAATGTATTCTTTTACTGGACCACCAAGTGACTCAATCCTTGCATTTGTGTTTGTCTCTAAGCGGAACTGGAAACAAACATTGATGTCTTATAACCACTTCTTCTCCCTTGTCCTTTTATGATCAAATGCATCTCAAATTAACTATTGGGGAAGTTTTCTGAGCTTTTATCCTGTTTCTCAATGTGTATTTCATTGTTCGCTATAGCTATAACTATCTTATCTTGTCACTTTAAAAATCCCTGTTCAGTTTAAAACTATTGCTGAGAGTCTTTATGGAGGCTAAATTATGAAGGCATGTTTGGTTACATCATTAGCCATTAGTAATTGAACTAAATCTCCAGCCCTTTTTCTTCCCCAGAGGAGTGGGGCTGAAAGTTTCCATCCTCTAGTCACAAGGTTGGTTCCTCTGGCAACCAGCCCCCATCCTGGAGCAGTCTTGGGGAACATCAAGAGTTACCTCATGAGCATAGACACCAGGCTTGGTTAAAAGGTCTTGTTATGAATAACAAAAGACACTCTTCATCTTAAAACTTTTTTTTTAATGTTCAGCTAGGTAATTATTGTTGATTTTTTTCTTTCATCTTTATTGCCCTAGAGCTGTTTCAGAAACTGGGAACAAAAGACAAATAGATAACATAGGCTGTTTCTCGCACATTTATTACTCTAGAACATGGTTGAGAAACTGAGGACAAAACCTAAATATTATAATCAAAGATGCTCTTATCATTTCTATCAACCAGGAAGTTTTAGGGTTTCAGAAGCTCTGTGATAAACAAAAATGAAATATACATATTTCTTATAATATCACAAGTCAATATTCATAGTAGATTTTCTTGTATTCAAGACTGCTCACTTGAGAATGTGGAGATGTTTGTGATGTTAATAGAATGACTACATTTTAGAGACTGTATGTGAATGACGAGGTATTTCAAAGCCCTTGGGTAATGATTGGAGGAAACCAAAATAAACTTCTCTAAGATAACTGCATATTGTTGAGCTGAAAAAGGTGGCAATGTGGGAGAACATTCTTTCCCTCCTTCTGCTTGCCAGTTGGCAGAACAATTTACAAATACCAAGGTCTTCTTGCCCTCCTTTCTACTTTTCCCAGCTAAGGATTAGCTCCTTTATGATACTTGTAAAAGGATTTAGAAGCAGACTTCACTCTTCCTGTAAAAATACTTTCCTGTATTTCATTTCCTTTTGGAATCCTGAAGATACTCTCTTCTTTGTCTTTTCACTATCATCCTAAAGGAAGTAGCTGAAGCCACATTAATGTAGAGAGTTTATTGGGCCAAGGTTGAGAACAGCTAGCCCGGAAAACACTTCCAAGTTACCTTGGGACGTGGTCTAGAGAACAAAGGAAAGACTGAAGATTTTAAAGAAAAAAGAATGAATCTGCAAAATCACGGAACCATTCCAAATGCTCATCAATCAATGAGTGGATAAAGAAACTGTGGTATAGATATACAATGGAATGCTACTCAGTCACAAGAAGGAATGTATTAACAGCATTTGCACTGACCTGGATGAGATTGGAGACTATTATTCTACGTGAAGTAACTAAGGAATGGGGAACCAAACATCATATGTTCTCAATGATTTGCGGAGCTTAGCTACGATGACGCAAAAGGCATACGAATGGTACAATGGACTTTGGGGACTTGTGGGGAAGAGTGGGAGGGGGACGAAGGATAAAAGACTACAAATATGGTGCAGGGTATACTGCTTGGGTGATGGGTGCACAAAAATCTCACAAATCACCACTAAAGACCTTACTCATGTAACCAAATACCACCTGTACCCCAATAACTTATGGAAAAATAAAAATTAAAAAAAGAATGAATCAGGAGAGGGAGTGATTTGAAAAGTTACTCACCAGTAAATTATCATTGATTTACAGAAACCGCATTGATTAGTAATTGGCTATACACTGTTAAACTGTAGGGTTCAGTTAGTCTAGAATCCACATAGCAAATGGCTTCAAGAGGTACATTTAGCTCAAGGTGGGAGTGAGGCACGACTCCTGTCATGTCTCTCTCATGAGTCCACTCTGGACTTGATAGTTTCAAGGCACTCACATCCTTAAACAAAGTTTTTTGTTTGTTTGTTTTCTTTCCCACCACTCCATAAGATTTATGGCTCTTTGTCAACATACTATTTAAGCAAGGCCTGTAAGCCACTGCCTTGAAAGAGATAAATACATTTGAACTGACTTCTCTCCTGAGTGATGGGTATAGCACACATTGATAAACTGCTGTTTTTTGTCTTGTTTCTCTGACTTTTGTTTTCAGGAGACTGTCTCTACTAAGAATCTATGAGGATAAGAAAACAAATCATATTTTCTGTGCTACAATATAAAATTCATGAAGCCTGTTTCTGATTTTTATATCACTTCAGGCTCCCTTTTACCTAATCAGGGAGATTACAATATATCACTGTCTCTGCCCAGTATTAGTCTGGATACAATAAGAATCTTTCTTCACCTTTGCAGAGTGATTTCAGAATGTTTCGTTTTGCAATCACATTCCTTAACAATGTTCATGGGTTTTGTTATTTACTATCTTACCCTTCATATCTAAACCATATCCATTCAATCAGACTTTTGCTTACTTCCTAGGACACCGTTCAACACAGGGATTAAGGCTTGCATAAAATAAGTAACCAATGTAAAGGTTAGTTAGGGAGCACTTAATTTAACCAAGGTCTCTAAACGGATTTCTTTTAGGAGATACAAAATTTTGTATTTTGCATGCTAGAATGAATAGGAATCAGACAGAGAAATTTTATATTAGGAACTGAAGAAATGATCTAAGTATTCTTGTCAAAGTTCTCATGAGTGGTTTTCAATGTTTCTCAATTCCTCTTTTTTTTTTCTTAATCCCATGTTTCAAAATCACTGGAAACTTTAGTTGTAACTGTGACTTCTTCTTTTGAGGTACACTTAATGTTAGAAGTCTCTTAGTCCTATAAGAGTGTGTAGCAGTTTGTCCCTGAGCTCTACCTTTTTTAAGTGAAGCTGGATCTCTGGGCAGAGATACAAAAGGTTCCTGAACCTTCTCAACACAGGGAGCCTGTATAATGATGCAAGAGCGGCAACCTCAAAGTACAGGTGAGTATTTCCTCTCTTTCAGAGGAAAGTGGAAGTGTATGATGAAATAAGATCACCTGGAGAGAAGAAGTAGACAAAGAACAGATTGAAGAGCTAGTGATTGGACCAATGTAGTAGACTGAAAGGAATTTAAAAGAAGGAGTCATTCTTCAGAGCCAGAGCCACAAACAATTGAAAGAATAAGAAAGCAAATATTTTTTGGGAGGTTTGTATCAGATTTTATTGAAAGTTTAGGGAGACAGAAAAGATTTACATGATAGAAGGTAATCAGGGAAATAATTGATTATTAGATATCTGCTCTTGAAAGTCTTTTGACTAATCTTGAAATCCAGGCAGCAGTATTCTTTCCAATTACCCTGAGTTTGTTTTTGTACTTGCTTTTCTAATTTTTTTTGTAAGAGAAAAGCTTCCCATTTTTAATGCATGAAAATTTGACTTTAGCTTCAACCCTTTGCATGTCCATCAATAATGTTAAAATTTTTTTTTAATGGATACAAAATAGTTGTGCATATTAATGGGCTCCATGTGCTATTTTGATATAAGAATATGATGTGTAATGATAAAGTCTGGAAAATTAGATTATCCATCACCTCAAATATTCATCATTTCTTTGTGTTTGGAACATTCCAAATCTACTCTTCTAGCTATTTTGAAATATACAATAAATGATTGTTGGGCTAGGCTTAGTGGCCCACACCTGTAATCTCAGCACTTTGGGAGGCTGAGGTGGGTGGATCACTTGAGGTCAGGAGTTCGAGACCAGCCTGGCCAACATAATGAAATCCCATCTCTACTAAAAAGACAAAAATAAGCTGGGCATGGTGGCATGTGCCTGTAATTCTAGCCACTCAGGAGGCTGAGGCAGGAGAATCACTTGAACCTGGGAGGTGGAGGTTGCAGTGAGCCAAGATTGCCTCATTATGCTCCAGTGTGGGTGATAGAGTGAGACTCCACGTCAAAAAAAAAAAAAAAAAATGTTAACTACAGTTGTCCTACTGTGCTAAGGGACACTAGATTTTATTTCTTCTAGCTAATTGTATTTTTGTAGGCATGAAGCAACCCTTCTCTATCTTCTCTTCTCCATTAACCTTCCTGGCCTCTGGTAGCCACCATTCGATTCACTACCTCCATGAGATCAATTTTTTTAGCTCCCACATAGGAGTCAGAACATGCAATATTTGCTTTCTGTGCCTGGCTCATTTCACTTAACATGATGTCCTCTGGTTCCATATATGTTGTTGCAAATGGTAGGATTTTATTCTTTTTTTATGAGGCAATAATATGCCATTGTATATATTATACTACATTTTCTTTATCCATTCATTTGTTGATAGACACTTAGGTTGATTTCATATGTTGGCTACTGTGAATAGTGCTGCAATAAACATGGGAGTGCAGATATCTCTTGGATATACTGAAGAAACCAAATATCAATACAGGGATATGAGAAATGGGAGACAAAAGTGATGTTTTGAGAAAGGAAATCAATGAAACATGTAATAGTTAAGAGGAAAGAATAAAGATATGGAAATTCCAGTTGGTTGAGCATATGTTTTACCTGTATTCTTTGGGGCCACAGAGCTCCTACCTGGTTATTTGTTCTGAGGGAGTTTGTAAGTTCTCTTCTTGCTTTAGATTTTTAACTCCTCTGAGGTTCTTCATCTAGTTTGTTCATTGCTGTAAGCTTCCTGAAGATTTTGGCTCCCCGGCCCCCTGGTAACTGTGTTTGTTGTCTTCCTGATTGGACAGAGAAAAGAGGTTGGTGGTCCCTGAAACTCTGGTCTGTGGCTGGGATTTCCATTGCACTCCTCAGTGCCTGCTTCATTGTGAGCTGTGTGGGTAAGTTCTGCACTGAGGTGCATTTTCTTTGCTTCTTTTCCCTTGAATATTCCATACACGTTTCCTAGGATATATTCTCCTCTGCCCCATTAATACATCAATTCTTACTTGGAATGTCACATTTTCCTTGATTTCTCCTTTTCCCTTTGTTGTTCTTCTTCTATCTTTTGAAAACTGAATCCTTGTAGATTTACTTTACCTGGTTTTATGAGCATTTTCTGAATCATGGCCTCATATATCCATGTTGTTCATTGTAGCCATCATCTAAGGCACCATCTTTCAGGACTGGATTCACTGGTAATCATGTGTTCCCTAGTCACAAAAGTCTTGTATTGGGAGTGCAACTCTAATTGCTGTCATAATTGTGATATTCTATATTAGATTCTTTGATTCATGTACAGAACCTTTCCAATGTGAGAGGAAAAAGTATTTAAATGAAATGATGGAGATAAAGAGAATACAATATTTCTTCTCTGTTCTGCTTGCCTCCAAATACATGTCTCAAGTTCATTGTGTGAGAAGTCTTAAAGACCTTTTTCCTCTCTGATTCACAATTTGGATTTGTACTCATTGATAAGGTGATTAAAAATAGTTGTTGAGCGGCCGGGCGCGGTGGCTCACGCCTGTAATCGCAGCACTTTGGGAGGCCGAGGCGGGCGGATCACAAGGTCAGGAGATCGAGACCATCCTGGCTAACACGGTGAAACCCCGTCTCACTAAAAACACAAAAAATTAGCCGGGCGCGGTGGCAGGCGCCTGTAGTCCCAGCTACTCGGGAGGCTGAGGCAGGAGAATGGCGGGAACCCGGGAGGAGGAGCTTGCAGTGAGCCGTGATCGCGCCACTGCCCTCCAGCCAGGGGAACAGAGCGAGACTCCCTTTCAAAAAAAAAAAAAAAAAAAATAGTTGTTGAATAATCTGGGAGGGAATGAAAGTGACTTCCCCTGTCAATCAGGTCATAGATGTAGCTCCCTCAGAGTTTTAAATAAATCTCACAATATTTAGTAAAATACAAGTAATTATCACCAAAGTTAGAATCTGTTTTACTTTTCAGAATCAAGTGCAAGAGAGAAGGGGTTTAAGAATAGATATTTCATAAAAAGAAACACAAATTCAGGATCTCAAAACATGAACTAAGAGCAGGGCAGAAAGATTTGACTGTATTGAGCTTTAGTTATAGAAGGACAAAAAAGAAATGAGTGAAGAATCAGATCAGATCCTGAGAGATAAAAGGTCTTGCTGAAAGTGAACATTAACATAAAAGTTAATGTTCATTTGAGACATTAAAAATATTTTTATAAATGTTTAAAATTTCCCCTTGGTTGTTACTTAGCCCATCTGTTGATGTGTGGCTACCTGCAGCTAGAATTATTTAGAAAACATCAAAATAACCTGTGTGCTTGCATCAAGGTTATTAAGGCTAAGGAGAAGCAGATATCCAGTGAGTCAATAAATATTTATTGATGACTTTGTGACAGTTACCCTTTTAGGTGTTTGTGATTAAAAAAAGATCAGTTTTCACCTTCAGACTTCCTCCTTTTTTTATAATAAAATATTTTAAAATTATTATTTTAAAATCGTGGGTATATAGTAGGTGTATATATTTACGGGGTATATGAGCTGTTTTGAAACCTTTAAGTTGTGTTTGTGATTAATTGTTGTGGGAAACAGGCAGAATCTCTGTTCAAGAGTATGGAGCCTAAATTCTAGTGGTGAAAAGACCAAAAAATTAAATGGGGGATATATATTAAAAAAAAAAAAGTAAGATAAATGAATACAAGCAAATAATAATTTGGCATGATTTTTATTGGGCTTGCATAGAGAAAGAGTGGTGGGGGTCAGAGGTAAGCCAGCACTGTACAGATATAGAGCTTAAGGCTTTATAGCAAAATAATAGATGGACACTAATCCTTCTTCTTCCTTCCCAGTAACTTACCGTTTTACATATGGTGAAACTGGCAAAACGCTGTCTGAACTACACTCATATCATTCAAGTCTCACCTGCTTCAGTGAAGGGACAAAGGTGACAGGTAAAGCTTTAAAATGCTTACATAGACTTTCTTTTTTCTCAGGGAGAGAACAGGGTTGAGCTCAAGATTGGTTATTCTATTGTGCGTTTGTGTGTGTATGTTTTATGAAAGTCTCTGCTCAGATATTTTCATAATTTCTCTAAACATACATGTTCATATCAGGCTCTAGACATGCCCCCAAAACAATTCCTTCTTCACACTTCTTGAGCTTGGTAAATATTATAAACCTACATGCATGTAATTTGCTCAGGCCAACCCTGGAAATTATTCATAACAATTCTTACAGTTTTTACATTCCTCTCACCCTCCATCAAATGCATACAATATTTTTTTCGATATTTAAGGTTTCCAATTAATACTACCCATCTCCATCCCAAATACTAGCATTATTCCTGGTCAAATTGGTTCAGGATGAGACTGATGCTTGTCCAAAATATACTGTTGTTAACTTCATATATGGAGAGTTGGCAGAGTTGAATTTAGGATTATGGTTGGTGTATTAGTCAGTTTTCATGCTGCTGATAAAGACATACCCGAGACTGGGCAATTTACCAAAAAAAGGGTTTTATTGGACTCACAGTTCCATGTGGCTAGGGAGACCTCACAATCATGGTGGAAGGTGAAAGTCACGTCTCACATGGCAGCACACAAGAGAAGAAGGAGAGCCAAGTGAAATGGGTTTCCTCTTATCAAACCATCAGATCTTGTGAGACTTATTCACTAACACGAGAACAGTATGGGGGAAACTATGCCCACGATTCAATTGTCTCCCACAGGGTCCCTCCCACAGCATGTGGGAATTATGGGAGTACAATTCGAGGTGAGATTTGGGTGGGGACAGAGAACCAAACCATATCAGTCGGCTTCATGGAAAAGGGTAAGAGCCTTTCCATCTGGTGGCAGCCATCAGGTAAGTCAAGATGGGTGCATACAATTACATCCACGAGCTATGGAAAAAGAAGCAGTCTGATGTCATGAGCTTGCTTCTGAGGATCTGCTATGGGCAGTACCGCCAGCTCTCTGCTCTCCACAGTGCTTCCCACCCCACCTGGCCTGATAAAGCGGGCCGACTGGGCTACAAGGTCAACCAAGGTTACTTATATATAAGATTCGTGTTCGCCGTGGTGGCCAAAAACACCCAGTTCCTAAGGGTGCAGCTTACAGCAAGCCTGTCTATCATGGTGTTAACCAGCCAAATTTTGCTCCAAGCCTTCAGTCTGTTGCAGAGGAGTGAGCTGGACACCCCTGGGGGTCTCTAAGAGTCCTGAGTTCTTACTGCCTTGGTGAAGATTCCACATAAAAATTTTTGGGGGTTATCCTCATTGATCCATTCTATAAAGCTATCAGAAGAAATCCTGACACCAAACCAGTCCACAAGCATAGGGAGATGCGTGGCCTGACATCTGCAGGTTGAAAGAGTCGTGGCCATGGAAGGGGCCAGAAGTTCCACCACACTATTGGTGGTTCTCATCAGGCAGCTTGGAGAATGCGCAATACTCTCCAGCTCCACCGTTACTGCTAATATAAGTAAAGGGGGTGTGTAAAATTCATACCTAATAAGCAATTTAGGACAGTCAAAAAAAAAAAAAAAAAAAGAAAAGAAAAGAAAAGAAAAAGGGAAAGAGAAGTGAAGTGCATACTCTTCTTCCTACCTATGTGGAACACTGCTTCAACAAGTAACATTTGAATGGATATTTTCCCGGAAGCAACAATGGGCACTTAGCTTTTGCCTTCTGAATGCCCTGAAATGGGACAGAGATGGATATTAATTAAATTAACTCCATATCCATCTGGCATAAGAGACTGTTAATTTGCCCCCTTAGTATATCCAATGTAAATGACCAGTCAAGCTATTCAATACAACTACTTAAAGTTACAGAAAATCTTATGTGATAAAATACAATTATTTTGTATAATACCATGTCAGTAAATAAAAATGCTCCAATTTTAACAACATTCTTTCAAATCATCATTACAATGAAAAATAAAAATAAAAGTCCATACACAAAATTTCCATTTTGATTAAAGTTAAAAAAATAACTTAAATCCACATTGTATCTTGTTCAGTTTGTTTCCCACTCAGCTGCAGTCAGAGTGTGGAGACGTTCATTTCCATAGGGAGAGCTAGAGTTCCTTCAATCCCCCTGCACTCTGCCTAGGCCAGTTTTCTTTTAATGGTTTTGCTTATCAATCCCCAAAAAGGATTCTGAAAACATATGTACCCTCCGATACAGTTTAATTTGACATCAGAATTTTCATCATGCTATAGAAGCAAAAGCTTTAATTTCTGGAACATTGTAAATATTGACTTTAAAAAACAGAACTGTTATTTCTCTCTTAAAATGTATTTACTTGTGTGTAAATACTATTACAAAGTGTTAACCCCCATCATTCATTAAAACAAAAATAAACATGTATTATTTAACAGTTGGATGTTTTACATCATTTTTCTATCTCCTTGAACTAAAATTTACATGATACCTTTCTCATCTGCCAAAATATGTAGCTAAACATGCCTAATATTTTAATTTCCTGTGGACCATTAGGCTTCGAGTGTTATCAAATGTGTTCTGGATTGATTTACTATCATAATTATTATCAGGACATGATGTCCAAACATCACAAAGTTATTCTAGATTTTGATAAATCATCAATAATTAAGTAAAACGATTGGAAGTCTAAATCTTAATGAGATGAGTGGAACTTTGAAAAAATGCTATCAAATGTAATTATAATATTATTGCTAACGTATTCAACACCAATTCAGCTCCTATTTTCCAATTTAATGACATTAACTAAAAAATCTTGCTCACCTAAGTCAGTAGATAAGAATGAAAAAGGCTTTGTTTGAATGTCACTCAATTTTTGATATTCTTTCAGCATTGTCTGCTTAAGATGATGTAGTGATCTATTGTCAAAAATTATTTATAATGGTTTGTAAACTGAGAATTTGATCAGGTTACTCCCAATGTTATAGAAAGTAAAGAATAAGAAATATTATAGAAAAATTTTGCAAAAGATTTGTTATTTCTCAGTCAGTAGTTATTTACTTTCTCAAAAGTATACCAAAAAGTGTTCTAATAAGGCTTATCAAATGATTGTGATTTACATCTGTTACTTTCTACACTTGCAAAGTGACTTGATCAGCTCGTTATTCTCAGCATAAATTGAGAAAACAAAATATTATTAATGTTAGTTTACCTTTTTGACAGATGCTTTTACTGATCACAGCTGACAATATTTTTTGTCGGCCTGGGAGCTGGCAATTTCACATGTTCAACTTATAAAAAAATGTTTGGCGTATATAGCTCAATTGGCAAAGTCAGTCAAATTTGACTTTCAAAATTCAAATCATATGTTAATACACACTTTGAGACATATTAAAGCAATCATTAATAATGAGCAGAATGCACAATTAAGGTATATTTCTAAAAGCAGCCAATATGCAAATAATATAGATATGGTTAATCTATTTTATTCATTGTATAATATTATAAAAGGAAGAATAAGCTTTTTGGTTTTTAATCACTTAATATGTAACGATGTCATAATGTAAAAAATGAATAAAATAGAACTATATGTAATAACGTGGATGAATATTAGCAATGCAAAACAAAAAAATAAGCCCAAGAAGATCACATATATCATAATTGCTGTTTACAATTTCAAAACCAAACAAATCTAAACAATTTACTATTTAAGCATACATATATATTTGTTTAAATTATATGTAATCAAAATCATATTGATTATAAGTATAATCAAAATATATCAGTGGATTTATATATGTCTAGCTATGGATTTTTTTAATCCTAGAAGAGTGACAAACTGGTACTTGTAAGGGGAGAGAACTGCTAATTGTTTAAGATTCTTAAGCATTTAATACTGTGTGAAAATTAGTAATAGGTAACATTTATTGAGCAATTATTCTATGTTAGGCATCTTTTAAAATGCTTTATACATATTATGTGATTAAATACCCCTGTGAGGTTGGCACTATTATTATTTCCATTTTAGAGATGCAATAATTGAGGCTCAGGAAGGTTATGAATTTGCTCGAAGACATACATGATAAATGGGGGAGCCAGAATTCTAATGAGGCATAATTCTAATTCTCATAACCAACCTGTGAATAGTTATCATTTTGAAAACCCAAGGCTTTGTGGCTTGCCCAAGATTACTGAGCAGAACTGGGTTTCTAGGTTCGTCCGTGTTAGTCATTTAAAATTATAAGAGGACTTGGTGCTTATAATGTACAAGGGACATGAAAAACAAAACTCAATAATGACTTTTGTTTTTTTTTTTTTTGCAAAAAAGAAAATGGAGACAAATCCTGCAGGTAAACTTTAGTAAATATTGAGGACTTAATGTTAAATAATATTTATTTGAAATCAATTCTAGGGCCTCAAACTATATAATTCAGGAAACTATATAATTGGCGCAAACATGAATTGAGAGACTGTCTCTACAAAGCAACCGCAGATCCTTAATCTTATTTATCACATCTTTCACTCATTCTTTTTTTTCATGTAACACAAAAATAGCCTGGGGATGTTGCCCAGCTTCTTGGAAGTCATTTGATTCCAGCTGCTACTTCATTTCCGGTGAAAAGAACGTTTGGTCTAAGAGTGAGCAGAACTGTGTTGAGATGGGAGCACATTTGGTTGTGTTCAACACAGAAGCAGAGCAGGTACTGTTTCCACTTAAAAAATTATCTAATTGTAGAAAAAAACACATAACACAAAATTTACTGTCATAACCATTTTTAAGTGTACAGTTCAGTAGCATTTACTATTTTCACATTACTGGGCAACAGATTTCTAGAAATTTTTCATCTTGCAAAACCGGAACTCCCCACCCATTGAACAACAACTATCCATTTCCCCATCCCTGAAAGCCCTGGCAATCACTCCTCTACTTTCTATTTCTATGAGCTAGACTATTTTAAATACTGTATACAAGTGAAATTATATAGTATCTGTCATTTTTTGAATAATCTATTTCATTTAGTATAATATCCTCAAGATTCATCCATGTTCTCATATAAGACAGGACTTTCTTTCACTTTAGGGCTGAATAACATTCCATTGTATGTGTCTCTCACACTTGTTTTCTGTTTCTTTGTTTTATTTGATTTCTTATTTTCCAGGTTTATTGGAGTGTGACTGACCACCAAAAGTAGCATATATTTAAGGTGTACTGTGATGATTTGATATACAAATTTATTATGAAATGGTTACCACAGTCAAGCTAATTAATATATCTATTACCTTATATATTTAGCCTTCTTTTTCTCCTTTTCTGTGGTGAGAACACATAAGATGCCACATTTCCATTCATTTACTTGTCAGTTGTCATTTAGGTTGCTTCCACTTTGTGGCTATTGTGAATAATTCTGCAATGAATGTGGATGTGCAAATAATCTTTTAGAGTTCCTGCTTTCAATTCTTTGGATAAATACCCACAAGTGGGATTGCTGGATCACATGTTAGTTCTATTTTTAATTTTTTGAGGAACCTTCATATCGTTTTCATGATGACTGTGCCATTTAACATCACCCGCAAGAGTACCCAAGGGTCTCACTTCACATTTTGGTGAACACTTGTTCTTTTCTGTTTTGCTTTTTGAATAGTGGCAATCCTAATGGACGTGAAGTAATATCTCATTGTGATTTTGATTTGTATTCCTTTAACAATTAGTGATGTTGAGCAACTTTTTTTTTTTTGAGACAGAGTCTCGCTCTGTTGCCCAGGCTGGAGTGCAGTGGCGCAATCTTGGCTCACTGCAACTTCTGCCTCTTGGGTTCAAGCAATTCTCTGTCTCAACCTCCCGAGTAACTGGGATTACAGGTGCCCACCACCATGCCTGGCTAATTTTTGTATTTTTATTAAAGACGGGGTTTCACCATCTTGGCCAGACTGGTCTTGAACTCCTGACCTCATGATCCACCCGCCTTGGCCTCCCAAAGTGCTGGGATTACAGGCATGAGCCACTGCACCCGGCTGGCAACTTTTAAAATGTACTGTTGACAATGTGTATATCTTCTTTGGAGAAATGTCTATTCAAGTCCTTGGCCCACTTTTTAACTGGGTTATTTGTTTTATTGTTGCTGAGTTGGAGGTGTTCCTTATATATTCTTGATATTAACCCCTTACCAGACATATGATTTGCAAGTATTTTCTTTTATTCCATACGCTGTCTTTTCATTAATTGATTGTTTCCTTTGCTTTGCAGAAGTTTTTAGTTTGATGGAGTTCCATTTGTCTATTTTCTTGCTTTTGCTCCCCATGATTTTGGTTTCATATCCAATACATTGCCAATTTCAATGTCATGAATCTTTTTGCTCATGTTTTCTTCCTGGAGTTTTACAGTTTTAGGCCTTTGTTTAGGTCTTTAAAACATTTTGAGTTAATTTCTGTATGTGACATAAAGTAAGGATTCAACTTGGTCCTTTTGCCTGTGGATATCCAGTATTTCTAGCTCCATTTGTTAAAGAGATTGTCTTTCCCCATTGTGTGGTCTTGGCACCTTGTTGGAGATTATTTGACCATATATGTGAGGGTTTATTTCTGGACTCTCTATTCTGTTACATTGGTCTCTATGTCTGTCTTTATGCCAGCACTGCACTGTTTGGATTACTGTAGCTTTGGAACATATTTTGAAATCAGGAAGTGTGAGGCATCCAACTTTGTTCTTTTTCAAGGTTATTTTGGCTATTAGGGATTTCTTGATGTTCTATATGAATTTTAGAATTTTCTTTCTTTCTGCAAAAAATAACATTGGGATTTTGGTAGGGATCATGTTGACTCTTTAGATTGCATTTTAACTGTATTAAACCTACCAATAATTAAACATGAGATGTCTTTCCATTGGTTTGTGGCTTCTTTGGTTTCCTTTATCAATGTTTTGTAGTTTCTTTAGTACAAGTGCTTTGCCTCCTTGGTTAAGATTATTTCTAAGAATTTTATTATTTTTGATACTACTTTATTATTTATTTATTTATTTATTTATTTATTTATTTATTTATTTCCCTGAGATGGAGTTTTGCTCTGTTGCCAGGCTAGAGTGCAGTGGTGTGATCTTGGCTCACTGCAACCTCTGCCTCCCAGGTTCAAATGATTCTCCTTCCTTAGTCTCCCAAGTAGCTGGGATTACAGGCATGTGCCACCAAGCCCAGCTAATTTTTTGTATTTTTAGTAGAGACGGGGTTTCACCATGTTGGCCAGGCTGGTCTTGAACTCCTGACTTCAAGTGATCCACCCACCTCGGCCTCCCAAAGTGCTAGGATTACAAGTGTGAGCCACCACATGCGGCCTTTAATGGGATTATTTTTTCAAGTTTCTTTTTAGATTGTTTATTTTTGGTATTTAGAAATGATACTATTTTTTTTCTACATTGATTTTGCATTCTGAAACTGCTGGATTTGCTTATGAGTTCTAAGAGATTTCTTGTTGAATATTTAGGGTTTGTTACATATAAGATTATGTCATCTGTGAACAGAGATAATTTTACTTCTTACTTTCTGATTTGGATAATTTTTTTTCTCTTCCTTACCAAGTTGCTCTGGCTAGGACTTCCAATACTATGTTGAAAAGAAGTGATGAGAATGGGCTTTCTTGCCTTGTTCTGAATCTTAGAAGAAAAACTTTTAATTTCTCAAAATTTAGTATGATCCAGGGATGCAAGGATGGTTTAACATCTGCAAGTCAATAAACGTGATATACCATATAAACAGAATTAAAAACAAAAATTATATGATCATCTCGATAGAGCCAGAAAAGTATTTGACAAAAAAAGAGCATATCTTTATTATTGAAACCCTCAGTAAAATCAGCATAGAAGGGACATAGCTTGAGGTAATAAAAGTCATCTATGACAAACCTACAGCCAACATTATATTCAACAGGGAAAAGTTAAAAGCATTCCCCCTGAGAACTGGAACAAGACAAGGATGCCCACTCTCACCACTTTTATTCAACATAGTACTGGAAGTCCTAACCAGAGCAATCAGACAAGATAAAACAACCAAAGAGCATCCAAATTGGTAATGAGGAATTTGAACCATCGCTGTTTGCTGATGACATGGTTATACCTAGAAAACCCTAAAGACTCATCCAAAAAGTTCCTAGAACTGATAAATGAGTTCAGCAAAGTTTCAGGATACAAAATTAATGTACACAAATCAGTAGTTCTGCTATACACTAGCAGTAACCATGCTGAGAATCAAATCTAGAACTCAACCCCTTTTACAGTAACTGCAAAACAAAAACATTTAGGAATTTACTTAACCAAGGAGGTGAAAGACCTCTGTAAGGAAAACTACAAAACACTGCTGAAAGAAATCACAGATGACACAAGCAAATGGAAACACATCCTATGCTCATGGATGGTTAGAATCAATATTGTTAAAATGACCATATTGCCAAAAGCAATCTACAAACTCAATGTAATTTCTATCAAAATACCACCATCATTCTTCTCAGAACTAGAAAAAAAAAATCTAAAATTCATATGGAATAAAAAAAGAGCTGCATAGCCAAAGCAAGACTAAGCAAAAAGAAGAGATCTGGAGGCATTACATTACCTAACTCCGAACTATACTATAAGGCTATATTCACCAAAACAACATGGTATTGGTATAAAAATAGACACATGGACCAATGAAAGAGAATAGAGAACCCAGAAATAAAGCCAAATACTTGCAGTCAAACATCTTCAACAAAGCAAACAAAAACATAAAGTGGGAAAAGGACACCCTATTCAACAAATGGTGGTGGGATAATTGGCAAGCCACATGTAGAAGAATGAAACTGGCTCCTCGTTTCTCACCTTATACAAAAATCAACTCAGATGGATCAAGGACTTAAATCTAAGACCTGGAACCATAAAAATCCTAGAAGATAACATTGGAAAAACCCTTCTAGACATTGGCTTAGGCAAAGACTTAATGATCAAGAACCAAAAGCAAATGCAACCTAAACAAAGATAAGTAGTTGACACTTAATTAAACTAAAAAACTTTTGCACAGCAAAAGAAACAATCAGCAGAGTAAACGGACAATACACAAAGTAAGAGAAAATCTTTGCAATCTATACATCTAACAAAAGACTAATATCCAGAATCTACAAAGAACTCGAACAAATCAGCAAGAAAAATAGAAACAATCCCATCAAAAAGTGGGCTAAGGACATGAATAGACAATTCTCGAAAGAAGGTATACAAATGACCACAAAACTTATGGAAAAATGTTCAACATCACTAATGATCAGGGAAATGTAAATCAAAACCACAATGCGATACCACCTTACTCCTGCAAGAATGGCCATAATCAAAACATCAAAATATAATAGATGTTGGCATAGATGTGGTGAAAAGGGAACACTTTTACACTGTTGGTGGGAATGTAAACCAGTACAACCACTGTGGAAAGCATTATGGGGATTCCTTGAAGAACTAAAAGTAGAACTACCTTTGATCCAGCAATCCCACTACTGGGTATCTACCCAGAGGAAAAAAAGTGATTATATGAAAAAGATACTTGTGCATGCATGTTTATAGCAGCACAATGCACAATTGAAAAAATGTGGAACCAGCCCAAATGCCTATCAATCAATGGGTGGATAAAGAAAATGTTATATTATATATATATATATCTCCCATATATATACTCCATATATATGTATACACACA